TGCATGTTTACAAACATATAGTTTAAGGTTTTGTTTACATGAACACACAATAATTCTTAAATTCACTCTACACCAATTTTTAAGATTTATCGAACATTTCAGTCAATAAGTCTCGTTCGTATTAAACCAGACGTCGGTTCGTAGATCATCCTATTTGTTTAGGATGAAAAAACGACAAAATATCTTTTACTCCTTGAAAAACCGTGCACAGAAACGTCTCCGTGCACATTTCTGTCGTTTTGCCGTGCACCTTTCTCTAACCGTGCACAATTCCGGAAAAAACCGTGCACAAAAAACATTTTTCCCAGGAATATTGTCCAAAAACAATTTACAGTTCAAATCGAATCTTTTCTCGGAAAATAAATATATTCAAAAAATTCAAATGCTGTAGGAATGTTTGTTACCAAAAAAGTTAAAATAAATAATAAAATTAATACGCTCTTTGAATCTTCTGACTACTAACTATGTGAAAAGATTCAAAGAGCGTATTAATGTTATTATTTATTTTAGAGCAAAAGTCGACTGGACAATTGTTTTTGGATAACATTCTTAATATGCCATGCAAATCATTTTATTCTTTTGCAAAAAAATTGCATATGTTGATCAACCTCTCGGTTGTTCGGTTTTCATATTTTACTTAACATTTACAAGATCTTTGAAACTAGGTATACGTTTTCGAAACAGTTATCATTCCAGCGAGCTTTTTCAACAACGGTAAGGAAGAAATTTAATTAACTCACGAGGGAACATTCCCAACTGATAAATCGCTTTCGAATCAAAACCTAGTGGACTATAGGTAGTTGACCATGCTGATTCCGAACTAGGCCTCCAGAGACTGGTTTTCTAAAGAATCAGTTTTCAGAAAATCTCTGAAACTTTTCTTAATAAATCACATTTGTAGTGCACGAACTTCTGATTAATATGAAACATCCCCCAGCTCTACACGACCTTTCCTTGCAAAGTTATAGAATTTACAAGAAGAGCCCTCAGTTCCCTTTTCCTTTTTCTTGCTATATCTCTCTGAGCTGACAATGACCATTTAGGGCTCTTCTTGTAAATTCTATAACTTTGCAAGGAAAGATTGTGTAGAGCTGGGAGATGTGTCAGTTTAATGAGGCTTTCGTGCGCTACAAACATGATTTATTAAGAGAAGCTTCGGAGATTTTCTGGAGTTTCCGAAAAACTGGTTTTCTAGGAAACCAGTCTCTGATGGCCTTGCAGCATGTCTCATGTTGATAGTCGGAATCAGTATGGTCGACTGCCTATAGTCCACTAGGTTTCGGCCCGAAAGCGATTTATCAGTTGGGGACATTCTTTCGTCAGTTTAGTTTGGTAAAGGAGCTTCACAAACACTTGAAAATGGATTGAAAAAAACATTCTGTTGAAAAGGATATCTTCCATCTGACTCTATTGGTCACATGGGCAAGTCTTTTTCGTATTTCAACACTTTTGAATAAGAATACAGTTAAAAACTCGTTTTTAGAAAAAATTTATGAATTCATTCATATCACGTAATCTGTTATTATTTGATCAAGTAATAAGACTCTTGTGGAATAAACTTTTTTGTTGCCCCGAGCGTGTAAGCCCAAGCCCGTAAAATTTTTCTTTAGCTCGAGCTGATGAACTCGCCCGCACGAAACAGTTATTTTTTTCCGAGCCCGTGTGTCCCAAAAAAGAGAACCACGGGCTTCCCCGTACCGTTCACCTCGTATATTTAGATTGATAAATAATACATCTGCTAGATTTGGATAAGAGACGTGATTTTTTCCTTTTGTTTCAAGCCTGTAAATATTTTTTGTCTGCGGCGGGACAGACGGGATGGGATTCGGGACTGTCCCGCAGAAGTCTACAAGTAACATGTAACTGTGAAAAAACAACCAATAAGAATTGACTACAAAAAACTGAAGAAAATCATTAGTCCTTACGATTTTACATTAGTCAAGATATTATGATTGAGCAGATGTTGATTGGTCAAACTTACCTGTCATTTATTCTTTTGGAGAGCAATTAACATGACTGAGTCAGCAATCTCATCGTCATCATCTTTATTTATAGTACCAAATGAAAGAGCAAATGCACAAGATGTTCTTATTGTCTGGTACGACAATGATGAAATGAATTTACAACAAATTTTTATTAACAATTCAAATGTTAAAAGCATTAAAATTTTATGTCGCATTATTTAATAAAAATAGTGATGAATGTATGAATTACATAAAACAGTATGAAACCGCTTGTCTTTTACTAATTATGTCCGATAAAGTAGTACAAAATGAGATTATTGTATTACCACAAATTCTTTATATTTATGTTTATCATATCGATCAATAGATCGTGATAGAAAAATCAACCAGGGTTACTCTTACATTTAATATATCGAAAAATTCAGATCATTTTATAAATCAATTTGAAAATGATTATGAATTACATTTCATCCGTCGATGGGCAATATCAGGCAATCGATCATCATTTAATCAAATCACAACGGTTATTGAGTGTTCAGTCAGAATTAAGTAAGCAAAATGTACAGTTTATCTATCAATAACTAATCATTGATATTTTATTACGTATGGAACAAACAATAAAATCAAAATCTGAACAATGTTTTCTTATGTATAAAGAGGATGAGAGTGAAATTCAAAGAATATTTGATTTTAAAAAGAGTTATACATTAGAAGAAACACTGAAATGGTATACGAAAGACAGTTTTTTTATTTCTTTTATTTAATCGTGCATTTCGTACACAGAATATTGATCTCTTATTTAAATTTCGAGTTTTTATTAAAGATATTTTTAGCCAAATAAATACTTTATACCAACAACAAGAACATAAAGAGCTGATATTAACTGTGTATCGTGGTCAAATAAGAACACATAAAAAATTACAAATATTACAAAATAATGAGGGTAATTTAATATCAATGAATACATTTCTGTTAACAACAAAAAATATCAGTGCTGCTCTTCTATTTTCTGAACAAGATAAAAATTCTACTTTAAAATCAGTTTTATTTCAAATAACAATTGATACAAAATCTTGTACTACGAAACCATTTGCTTTTATCACGACAGATAGCCATATGAAAATTGAAGAGGAAGTATTGTTAACCATCGGTACAATTTTTCAAATCGAATCTGTTGAAGAATTTATGGTACATAAGAGAGTATTCTGGCAAGGCAAAATCTTATTATACATCTCAGTTAGATCATATTCACAGAGAAGAAAAGTTCTCGGGATATTCCTTTTCACAAAATGTTTGCTGATCTATGACTTACTAGTACAGTCATATGCATATCGGTTCTTCTATGAATATGATTTAAAAGCAAAAACCGTTCGACGCGAAAAACAGTTTACTAGCTTTTTCCAATTTTTAAAATTTTTTCCTTTAATTAACAGCATTTACTGATTATCCATTAAAAAATGTAATGCAGAAAACTCTTTTCAGAATAACGTTTGATACATAAACAATAAAGAGATGCGGTTTCGATCGCTTATAGAAGACACCGGGGGAGATCTATTGGTAAAAAGACCGCGTTCCAAATCCTGGCTGCAGATGATGTACATGATGGATCTCCCGCAGAGAACGCTACCGTTTCCTACCTTTCCATAGCAAACAAAACATGCACAACATATACTGACATCTATGCTCCACATCCATGCAAGTACGAGATCTCCATTTATCATTGTTCGAGCATGGCAGAATTCTTCGAAGGCACCCCTATCAGGCGACCTTGTTGTCTGGTAATCTCTGTAAGGAATTGCGCATAGGTTTTCGACTATTCTAAATCTCCGGGCAATGCTTGCTTTTCGAAAAAACTTCAAAAACCCAGTGGAAACCTATACTCTGTGAAATAATGCATTTTGCACTATTTGCCCCGAAAAATTCATAATTCACTCGAAATCGATCGAAACTACTTCAGAATATCAAGATATACTTTATTTTATCTTCCTAATCTGGTCTGTACTTAAGACTGATAAAGAACATTACTTTACTTGGAAAGATTTCTAGAAAAACTTTCAAAGACCAAAGTATTTTTTATTGATTTTTAAAAGTTTTAGTGAATACCAAGGTGTAATGCAGATAAAATAGACTATATCTTGATACTCTGAAGGAGTCTCGATCAATTATGAGTGAATTATGAATTTTTCGGTAAAAATAGTGCAAAATCTGCGCGAAAACCGCATCTCTTTATCGTTTGTGTATCAGACGTTATTCTGAAAAGAGTTTTCTGCATTATATTTTTTAATGGATAATAGTTAGAAAATACGTTTTAACAACGCTTTTTGCGAGTATTAGTTATTTTTGAATATGGTCAAGCTGTCTATGATCGAACTAATTTCCAGTCGGAGACGATCGAAAAAATCTTAGAGATCTGATTCATCTGCTTTGATGGCTCATATATTCTGTACGGCTCATTTTGCCGAATTTCGTGATTCTAGCTCAGCTCACCGTCTAAAAGATACTCTTTCGGTCTGTGACAGCTAAAGACGTTGTTTTGCATACTTTTCATCATTTGGAATGCATTCGTGACTCATCTCCGTTGCTACCGTATACTCCCAATCAAGTATACTCGAGTACAAAATTTTCGGTACTCGTACTCGGGACGTTTTTCTACTAATACTTAAAAATGTACTCGAGTATTTTCGAGTACTTGAAATTTTTTAACATACAATAACCTATAATTAAAATAACTTTTTCACGAGTATTTTCTTCTTTTGAAAATACTCGTACTCATACTCGACAATCTGCGTACTTGCCCATCTCTGAGAGCAATCACCTCTAATTGGACTGACATTTTCTGATTGAAAAAATAATGTATCATTATGGGGTTGTAAAAATGTTAAAAGTAGTTCCAAAGCCATAGTGCAACATGCTGCTATACCACTAAAATCGAAATATTTCCGTTTAGGGAAGGGATAAAGGGGTCGACGTTGCGTCAATATTTAAGTTAGTTCTAGAAGCTCCAAAATATCCAACAACTGTTAAATTTTCCGTGCAGAAATAATGACTAATCACTGATCATGTAACATATGCGATGGAATATGCAACTGGTGTTCATGTGTAGTCTGTAGACTTGCTTAAATACTGAAGCAACGTCGACCCTTTTATCCCGTCCTTAAGTGGAAATATTTCGATTTTAGTGATATAGCAGCATGTTGCACTTTGACTCTGGAACTATTTTTAACACTTTTACAACCTCATAATGATACATTATTTTTTCAATCATAAAATGTCAGTCCACTTAGAAGTGATTGTTCTTTCATATGAAACCGAGAAAACAGAAATATTTTTTTGGCTCTCGACACTCTTCTATGGCAGCAGGGCGTCGCTTAGGTGAAAGAAACCTCTAACATTTGTTCTTTACACGGATTGTGACTTTTATTCATTTCATTTTATTACATACATTGTTATTATCAAAAGTTCACTTTGACATTCATCCAGCAAAGGTTTGTGATTTCTTCATGGCGCATGGCGGTTAGAATAATTAATATTATTTACATTTGAGCGATTAAAATCGCTAGTATAGTTACTAACGGGTGGCGCAGAAATAATGGGACACTTTTGTTTTCTACCTTTGAGGTACTTAACAACCGTTTTAAAACCTGGTTCTGAGCTCATTTGATAGAGAATTCATTTTTGCACAAAACTGTCGAATGCGTTTTTCAAATTAGTGTTTCTTGTGAGCACAAAACTTCAAAGATTAACACCTACTCAAAAGTCCATCGAATACCCAAAAAACGAAAAAATGTATGGATAAATTTTCAAACGATTCTGCTGAAATATTAAGTGTGCCACGAAATTCTGCATCTTTCGATGTAATTTTCAAAAATTTAGGAGAAATATTTGAGAGGAAGAATTTTGAAGTGAAAAATGTGAAAACACCAAAGAAGCTTATTTCCTGACAGACCTATGACATTGTTCCCTTTTAATTCGAAATAGCCAAAATGATTTCAATTTTGAAGTCGCAATTCATACCATTTTGTCCTGCATTAAATTCTGCATACGACGGTACGAGAGTCAGCGTTTCATATGACAAGTCTGTCTTAGAAAAACATTCTTTTCTGAAATGCGTCCAAAAATTACATCAGGTGTTAGTTTGAAGCCTTTTTCTTGTGAACCAGAGCACCAAGAACCTTGAAAAGGTCTTGGAAGTATAGAACACAAAATTCTCTATCTATTGATGTTAAATACTTTAGTTTGAGCACCGGTTTTGATGAGCACATGCTTAAACAAATCGATTGATATCCGGAAAAAATAAGAATTCGCAGATGGGCTATTGAGTAGGTGTTAATCTTTGAAATTTTGCGCCCACAAAAAAGACTAATTTGATAAACGTATTCGACAGTTTTGTATAAAAATGAATTCTCTATCGAATGAGCTCAGAACCAGGTTTTAAAACGATTGATTGTTAAGTACCTCAAAGATAAAAAACAAAGGTGTCCCATTATTTCTGCGCCACCCGTTATTTGAATTATTTCCCTCGTTAAAATTATAATTAATCATATTCGGATTAGTTCCGGGGTTGTGTGCACAATTTGTTATACTAAAAGTCTGTGAATTTCTGTTCGAATTATTATGGTAAGTATTATGACGTTCCGAATGACGGGTTAATACAAATTTAAATTAATCAGCTGTGTCGTCTCATTATTATTTGATCCTTGAGCTAGCATTCTAAGTTCAGTCATCATTTAATCATTTCTCGAGTCTGATTCTGTATTCATTTGTCTAGGTGAGTGAACTGAGATAATGTCTCAATTAGAAATCCTTTCTTTTGCGAAAATGATTCGTTATGCCCTATTTTAGGAGTACAAAAATGTCTCGCTGAAGAAATGTTCATAAATATGAAATTTCTGAAATACAATTACCCAGTTTGGTATAAAGCATAAATTAAATTAAAGTTATCAAACATCATGCCACTATTTTTTTATGTCTTCTTCTTAACTTCAGTGAAAAGTACAATTTATTTATCAAAAGTGATCAGTTCTATCCAAATAGGTTCGAATCATTAATGGAATCCGATATAATTGATTATTTTCTAGCTGTTGATAGATTTCGAGTAGGCGAAACTTTAGTTAATTCAATTTTAATTAATAGACGAGGAAGATATTTTGATCCAAAAACAAATGCAAAAGTTCAACATCTTTCAAGCGATTAAAAGTTAAATTGAATCGAATCTATTGTTTACGTTTAAGTAATGGCGATAGTATATTTTCTTTACATTTTTCAATTGATGAACATCGTTTAACTGTTATTGAATCGGATGGTGTCATGTTAGATAAGGTAATTCTAGTCGATTAAGTTAGAAAATAGAAATACTATGTCATGGATAAGACGCATTCAAATTATTCAATAATTAGTAAAACATCGTTTTTGAATAAACTAGAATTATTGGACTAGGTAAATGATTTGATATAATTTTAAACACATCTTCGTTACAACACTATAATTATTGGATTCGTATTGATAGTGATATTTACGCGATAGGATTGAGAAGTTGTCTTTCAGCGTAATGTTAAGCTCTATTTTTATAGTGTTGTTCGACTTAGATATGTCGCTTTCGGATCAATTTGCCAAATGGATGGGTAATTATCTTCATGGTTACTATTTTCTTGTAATTGAGCAGGGACTAGCAATCTTAAGCCTGGCAAAACCTCTGTCGAGCTGCCTATTTCTTGCAGTGTTCCACACGGATCCTGTTTAGGATCATTATTATTTTTGATCTATGTAAATAACTTACCCGATGGATTAGATAGCTTATGTGTGTTGTATGCTGACGATGCTTCTCTTCATCGTGAAATTACCAATCTACAAAGCGATTTTACTGCTATGAATGAAGATTTGACAAAAATCGAGGAATAGTCTCAAAAGTGGAAACTTGATCTAAATATAAAAAACTGTGTCTCAATGTTTGTCACACGCAGTGTATCCTCTCTCCTAGATTTTTGAACAGCTTTTATTTTTCTCGAACTTTTCCTCAAAAATCTCGGTCGAAAAGTTCGAGAAAAATGAAAGCTGCCCAAAAATCCTCAGACACACACGAATCAAGTCAGTTTTTGATGCTGATTCCAAATATGACATTGATTTTGCAAAAAACTGAGAATTTGACAGTGAAAACTGCAAAATACAAGTGAATTTTCTTGTTTTTTGCTACCTGTTTCAAGAAAATTAATTTTCGCAACAACGGAACGATATTTTCTAAAACCGATACTAACTTTTTTTCCCACAAGTGGGATAACGTAATTAAAGAAAAAAAACTTGCCTGACTACTAACCAAAAAAACTGGATGGACTTACAAGAAGTTTGGGTGGGGTTCGAGCCGTGTTGCCTGGTCTTCAGCGATTTCAGTCGGCCAATCAGGTTCTAAAGGTATCTGAATTACTTTTTATATTCAATTTTGTTTAAAATCAGAAAAAAATCGCACCAAAATTTTGAAAAGACAATAAACTCTGAAAATTTGCTTTTTTTCCGAAATTTCGCTGAATTTTGCCCATTTTTAAAAAATTAATATTTTAAAATTTTTTAAATGAGAAAAGACTTTCAAAAATCCACGTTTCAGTTTTTTCTAGGTAACTCGATGAGCTCGATCTAATGATTAAAAAAGAAATTTCGCCTACCTTTTGAATTGCCGACTCCTGACAACCGAGAAAATCACACCAGTACTCCTTTTTATCCGGATGCTTAAGTTTACAATGAAAGATTAATTCGTCCTTAATCCTCCAATTTTTGTAGCAAAATGAACACTGCATTTTTTCCGAAGTATTAAAAAGAAGTAAAGAAATAAACAAAGCGCTAAAACGATGAGAATATCTAGCATCTGGTGCAGGCTGACTGTTAATCAGCCGTGAATACACTATCCCATCCAAAAGAAAAAGGGAAGAAGATGTAAAGGATAGAGATTATAAAGATCATAAAGATAGAGTGCATATTCAAATAGAAGTCTTACTTTTCCAAATTGGAAAACTGTAAAAGCATAAAATGTATAATATTCTACTACTCACACATCACCACCCAAGGGAAGAGTACTGAAGAAAAAATTAGGCTTTTTGAATGCTACAACAGAGCGCAGCCGTTTCTTGGATTTAGTTTTAGCCAGTGTCTTTTGTCCTGTCTTGAAATTAAATTGAAATAAAGTATCACAATGAAATCTATAAAAAAAAGTTTTTTCTCACAGAATAAAATATGGATGACAGCCATTTTCTCCAGAAAATTAATAAACGTAAGTCACTAATGCACCTTCCACTTTTTTTGCAATGTCAACCATAAGGAAATCAATAAGCGCCAAGTTTATTACAGTTTGTCCTACATTTCAGTTTTACCACAATTTGAAAAAGAAAACACCATACTTGTCTTTTTTGTAAGCCACTGAGAAAAGAGTATCCACTAAAAATAGCTCAGTAGAATTAGAACTAGGAGACCTAGTGAGCTGTGACCCATCAAAATGAATCCGTTTTACTGACTGAGACAATTTTACTCACTGGTGACTCACTTTATTTTTTACAGTGTATGATGATATACGTTCGTATTTTTTTTGTTTTTTTATTTTATTCATACTCTACATTTACTTCATTCGTCATATTCATATTATTATTCATATTCTTTTCATTTTCTAATGTTGCTGAAGGCCATTTTATCAACCATCGACTGCTACTTTCATAGTAGCGAACTTTATGATGATCAGAATAGTGTCTGTTTCTTTTATTCTTGTAAACTTTTTCCTCCTCTTTAGAAGAACTATTAAAGTGAATAAAAACTTTAAAAAAAAGACTTTTCCTCCATTTCCACTTGTATCTTGAATATAGATTTAGATTTTACGATTTTCACCGTTTTGAAAATGTTTGACATGTTGATGGAGGTTGGGAACCTCAATCACTAAAAATTCTCTCTAGAAGTTGAATAAATGACAAACTATAGTTGACAAGACAATTCTAACAGAAACGGTAACAAAAAGATGGAGATGTAAAACCATTCAGCCTTTGTAGATAAAAACAAAATGAGCGCTTTTATATAAGATCAAAACAGAGAAAAGAAAAGAAGACAATCAAAGATCTTCTAAAATGAAGGATAAATACATTTTTAATCCTGGAAATTAAGCACAATTGATTCAGCTTACTATTTTTCGCGAAAAAATGCACAAATGATCTCGGTTTTCTCAATTATTTTTAATTAGTTATATAATAACACAACTGATCCTGGAAAAAGCGATTTTTTTCCTTGAATAACATAATGATCCTGGAAAATTAGCAAGCCACGGCACCGTCCTTCAACCTCAGGCTCATTGCGCAGCTATGTAGTCTTATGTTATAGTAGTTAAATGTACTTCTTCACCATCATGACTTGACTTTTTCTTCGATTTGGTAGCTAGAGGCAATGTACAACTTCTACTTATCAAGTACTTAATTCGATAAATCTATAAAAGAAATACAAAAATACATAAAAAGAATTAAATAAATATAATAACCATAAAAGTCAAAAATTAACAATTTTTTGAAAAATTAAAATATAAAAATTCATAAAAAAAGTTATTTCAATAGAAATAACAAAACAGTTCAGATTAAGGACAGATAAGATTTACTTCATATAATCAAATAAGAATATACAATTTGAGCTATTTATCCATACTACAGATGACTACTTTTGTATACGGTCTTTTACTGAAAACATAATTCGAAGCAAGATAATTGCGATCTCATTATCTCAGATCACAAGCACGACAGTCATTGTCTTTCATTGAAAAGTATAAAAACGTTTGTAAAAGTAATATTTCTCACAGCACATAATTGTTACTTCAAAAATATACTGTTATCAACGTGTCTATCAAAATACGGCAGGACTTTTTTATGTTACAATCATCGAAGAAAATAATACATGTAAAAAGCGTACAGAACAACTTGATTATGGATTATGTTACACATAAGTTATATTTGTTCAGAATATCGAAAGTATTTATTGTGTAAATTTCAATTGAAAGCAAAACACTCGTCTGATGCTAACATATGAATTATTTCTATGACATCTTTTCCATAATATCAATGTTTTATGCAGTTAAACCCTATGGTTATAATGAGACGACATAGCTGCTCAATGAGTTTCAGATTGAAAGATGATGCCATGACTTGCTAATTTTTCGGGATCAGATACGTTATTCAAGGAAAAATAGCTTTTTAAGGATCAGTTGTGTTATTATATAACTAATCAAAAATGATTAGAAAAACCGAGATCATTTGCGCATTTTTTCGAAAAAATTAGTAAACGGGATCAACTGTGCTTAATTTTCGGGATCAAAAATGTAAGTGTTCTAAAATGAATATACTCTAATAGATGAAAACATGTGAATGATCTTCAAGGTCACATATACAAAGAAAGTGAACGAATGTTCTAAAATAATATAACTATGTACATAGACTCGGCTAATGACCGTCAATGGAAAAGACACATAGCACTAGTATAATCATGCATGCAATATCTAACTAAAGTAAAAAGACACCTGAAGCAACGTGACCATACACGTAAACACGTGCCTAGGATTTGACACTCTAACACATTTCGAGTCATCAATAGCTGTAATCAAGCTACTGTACACAGTAAACATTTATTTGAGTTCCTTTGTCCAAATTCCCAATAGGAAAAATTGCCATATTCCACGGTAAATAACCACTGCTTGTTAGTCGATGCTTTTCTCTTATTTTTTCACATGAATGTTCACAGATTTGAGGAAAGGTGGGAAAACTATAAGGTGAAAAACGCAAATTCAACAGTCTTTCAGTGTTTTTGTATAATTTAAATCTAAACATCTTTGAAAACATACTTTCTTTTTTAAAACTTCAAATTTCAAGGTTGATATCTCCTACGTAAATTAAGTTCAGCTTCTACAAATATCTTCGCGCTTTGCACAGTCCCGCAGACTTGCACAACTTTGACTTCTTTCTTCCCTAATCGCCATATTTTTCAATAGCAATAGCAAACTATGCTGAAAGATGCACCAAACAAGAATTCTCGATAAAAGAATATTTCAAACTATTTCTAATAGCTGATATTTTCCACCCTTCCATATCACTCGTAATTTTGAACAGTTCGTCACAATACTGCATTATTACTCATATTTTAATGGTAAGGCACAGAAATTTGACTGTTCCTTACCTTCAATTCCGGATATAACATAGTTTTTTGAATTTTGTTTAAAGTTGTTGGTGTAAATCAGGAAATACCAGTGGTTTAAATAAAATACAATAAAATTGTCTATTTACAAGAAATATAATTTATGTGGAACATTCATCACCCTTCATACTTCAGTTTCATTAGTGCGGCCAACACGGTACCACTAGAAAGTATGCATGCCTTATAGTGCTTGTGTACTACTTTGAAGACGAATCGTAGCAGATGACAGAGAGTTCTGGAAAAAGAAATATGTTTCTGGAAGTTATTTTTCTCGCGTCAAGACACGAATGCAAGCTGCAAAAATGAAAATGGCAGAAATGCATTTTAGTCATGACCCCAAAGATATGATAAATGATAAATTGCTTTTTATTTGACGGGAAGATATATAATTGATGATGGGTCAAATACGTGTCCGATGGTTCTTTGCCCCCCTAGTTCTCTCAGGAACAGCACACGCAGGCCGAATTGACAAAAATAATCGGGATGCACACCTCTGGATAATATCAAGAGACATTTCACATTAATTAGAAGCTTGTTATCAATAATCCACCACCATCTCAGTGTAAATTGTATACATGCTCCTATATGTCTATGCAAGATAGGAACTACATCGCTCCTCATACATGTCCACGCTTCTGGTTCTGGCAAAGCCTGACAAAGTATATCGTAACCAACTTCAATCTTATGAAATGTTTTACGATCGTATCCGTGAATGATGAAGACTCATTTCAAACAAAAAAGTAAAACATGGTCGCTCTCTACTGCTCGCAAATGAGAGGATACAATACCGTTGGTGCATGACCAACAACGTGAGACGATAATAATTGTGTGGGTGCAAGTCAAGGCCCTTTTCCGATGATATAACTAGAGATAAACTGTAGATGTGGGTGTCGCGTGCAATTCAGCATTGTGTACCGTTCATGGACCACTGCATCCAGTGCAGCGAATGGAAAAAGAGAAAAACAAGAGAAAAATGCTAGTATTCGATCTGTATATAAAACGTCCGCACAGTAGCTTCAGTATTATCTTATACAAACATTCTTTACTTATACTACATCTTTTAACTATTACAAGAACAACATGGCATTCGACGGCAATCGTGACGGTTACCTAAACCAAGCCGAAGCTCGTGATGCGGCCGAATTTCGAGCCGGTGATTATAACCAGGATGGAGCAATGAACCGCGCTGAGTTCTCACGTGTTGAAAGTAAGTGGCCATATTCCTGCATTAAATGTACTAATTGCTTTTCTTGTTTCTAGATCCGCGTGAGTTCAACCAGTATGACACGAATCGAGATGGACTTGTTGATGCTCCTGAATACGAGCGTGGAGAGATGCGCGAAGGCGACCACCAACAGCGTGAGTTAGACTAGGAACATTTTTTCGCAAACAAACTTCTCTTTATTTCAGGTCGCTGGTAGTTGGAGTCCACTTGCAGCTTCAGGATACCGGCAATTCATCGCAACGCTGGCTTATCAAAAATGACATTTCTCTAATTTTCTTTTCTGAATTATTTTCTCTTGATAAACAGAATAAAATTTGTATAATGTATCCTACGTAAAGCATGAAAAAGGAGACTGATAGGAGTGAAGAGGTGCCTGGAATTGAAAAGATTATTGCGCAAAGGCATATACTGTATATACAGTGTACGTGTAAGTGAGCCTGGACACATATATGTGTCCGGATGCAGTTCCACGGTTAAATCAAACGTTAAATAAATAAAAAATTTTTTGTCTATTTGTTTATACAAAATCTGAAACTATCCAACGAGCCACATTTCTTCATGTTCACGAGAAAGCTTTCCATTTGGTTTTTCTAACAAGCAAAGATTACCAGGTGGTATTCGGAAAACACAAAAAAATTTTCCATCATAAAACCACACTTTGAAAACTCATAAAAATATAAAGAATTGTATAAAATTATAGTGTCTTCCAATCGACGCTGAACATAGTAACAGTCTGTGAGAGGATCGATTTCTATCAAATTTTCGTTTTTCCTTTATGCGCATTTCCACTGTCTTGTACTTTTTCGATCCGGTTTATAGCTGAGCAGGGATACAAAACAAATCTGATCAAATCAATCCTAAGCTTTCGTTATAGAGCATAGTTTATCTTTGTTTTAGTGATGATGTACATTACTACTTATGGTTTTTGGTAATGCATCAGCGGTCTTGTGTGTACTCACTTCAGAGGAAAAGATAGAAACGTGTTTTGGTGTTTTTGTTTGAAATCAGTCTTCATAATTCATATAGGTATATACATGAAACTAACGTATTACTATCGATAAGCTATTTATAAAATGCATTGTTTATTCTCATTCAATACATCGACGAGTGACAGAATATCAGTGCACAGTGTGACTTGAAACAGCGATTTTCGTTCTTTTCTAGGTCCGATATATTCTACCTTACATATCTGAGGAGAATGCACTCATGTACATATCGACTCAATCCACTTATTTCGTTAATATGTAACATAATTGGAGTAGCAAAAGAAGTAACATAAGGTATAAATACTTCACTTACACCTTGCACACAAAACGCGAGAAAGAGAAAATAGAAAGTAGCACAAAGAATAAAGTAAAATGGTTATATAAGGTCTTATTTCAGGACCTAATTTATGACTGTGACAATAACTGCTGTTCCAAAGCTCTAGAAAATGATAGATAGAGTACAATAGTGTAAATTCAGCGAAATATAACTTTACTCTTTATTGAAAAGTATACTTTTGAACGAAAATGAATTTCGAAAAAAGCTCTTTGTTGTTTTGTAGCTAATCCACTGGCGCATCTTGTCATGTGCGAATCAAGGCTCTCTGACTTCGCCAAAAACCGGTGAAAACCTTACAAGCAAAGGGTATAGGAGTTTTGATCTCTTTGCTTTTCCGCTCCAACAAAAGTCGAATTTTCTAGCTAGAGCTTTGTGAAGTATGCATCTTGATTCAATTTTCAAAGCTGAATCTGAATATCGTATCCGCAAAGTTCTATGAGCTTTGAGGACGAAATGGCGGAACTTTTCCTTGAAAGTCTTGTTTTTCCAGTTTTTTAGTCTCTCTCAGTATTTTAGGGCTATCTCGGCGAGGAAAGGGCTTTTGAGAGCCGGCAAAGTGATATTCGTGATCTCCGTTGAATTCGCCATAGAACAATGCACAACACACTGGAAAATAAAATTTACTTGGTCTTTGCGAAGCTTTCACCTTAATCGAAAAATATCGCAATTTCCGTCCGTATCAATGTTCAAAAGTTTTTTCATGACTTTTTATTGTGCAGAGTTCAACGATTTTTATTCATCGATCACTGTATAATTATTGAGTCGACAAAACTAATATGAATACGTAGAATTGTAGATCAAATATTTTTCTACAAAATGGTGTATCTAAGTTTATTTTCTTGCCAAACGGTAAAATGTTGTAAAAAATTCGAAAAAATAATTAAAAACAGCCCCTTCTGATGTGAGAGCCTCTACGTGGCAAAAGGGAGATAACGTTCAATCTGACGACGACCACTGATGGATTGAACAGTCAACTATTACAAGTAGTAAAGTTTCATTTCTTATAGATTTAGACATGATCCCTTATGTTGGAAAGCTTATTTTGCACCAAAACGAGTGAAACGATAGCTTCTGAAGTTTAAAACTACGATCTATTGATCGAGTTCTAAAACTTTTTCAAGTTATGAATCATGTAATAGGTGCAGGAGTGAAAGTAGAAAAATCGAAATACCTACCAGGTTTTTGAGATGAGCGCCTAAAATTTTTCACGTTTTTCAAAAAATTTCAGGAGATCAGAAATCATTCGACACATTCAGCAATTCTTTTGTAGCAATGTTCACGATACTCTACTTTTTTGTTCTTTAGGGAAGATTCGTAAGAGATACCAAGCATCACTCAAAGTACTCGTAACATATTCAAAAATTAAAACCACTTTTTGTACATAGTATTAACCTGTTGAAAGCAGTATGCTGCTGGCCTTGTGCAGTGCAGTGTATTGAAGAATGTTTTTATTGAACGATAGTCTAATAGGTAAAAGTCCTAGATAGCAATTGGTATGCATGGAAAGAGAAATTCATATGTTGTGTTTCTTGTAATACTCTCAATGTAGAGTATATGATGTCGCCTCAATGCAGACCAGATATGACGCCGCTAACAAACGATGTAACTTTTGGAATGTTTGTATGAATTACTTAGGTACTTAAAGCAGTCATAGTTTTCGTTTCCATTTTCCTAATTAACATCGGCGATATAAAGTATTATAAAGGAACTTAATTTGTAGCAGGTGGTCAAAATTCCAAAAGTGAACATTGCACACTTCTTCTAATAATCACCTTAGCATCCCACACACTTTATCAAACAGCCTAACGATGTTGCATTAATATGCGTTATGTATATTAAAACCAAGTGTGAAAACTAAAACATGTGAACGATGTGATTTAACAGCCAGTGCCAAATGACTTTTTTTATTGATGAATGATGCTAATTCTAGTGGCATTAATATTGTAACTCATTTTGTAGACAATCGATCGCTCTATAAACTGCCTTAAAACTGTTCTGTTATAAGAGGGTTTGGCTGCATGGTAACTATTTTACTGGAAAAAATCAAGTGTCTTAACCTAACAAATTTCAGTAAGGTGATTAGTCTACTTACTTTTCCAATGATGAGACAGAATTGAATGTTTAGAAGTACGTAAACCGATCAAGTTAAGCAGAATTGAATATTTTCTCAGCAGAATTGAAATAGAATTGAACTTAGCTCCAGCAGAATTGAAGAATGATGTGATAGAATTGAATGTGGAAAAGCAAGGAAGGGGAGGGATCATTCGGAGTACCTTTACATTTTAGTTTCAGGAGACGCACGGCATGGAACACCTTGTCAAATGCTTTAGAAATTATAGACTGATATTTTATGAGTATACTCCAATTTCTTAGGTAATAGCTGAAAATCTGAAAGTATTCCAACAGACCTATTCACTAAAGCGCTCCTTACCATCTCTTTATTGTTAACAATAGCTGCATAACCAGTGTCATTAGGAACTAAACCACAAATTATCTCGTTAAATGAGATAGCATAGTCTCGACAACGTATAAAAAAAGAGATGGCGAGGAGCGCTTTAGTAAATAGGTCTGTTAGAATACGTTCAGATTTTCAGCTATTACCTAAGAAATTTGATTATACTCATAAAATATCAGTCGGAGTAACTATTCTTCGCGATTAACCCTATTCAATGCTGGACTTTTCAACAACTCACAGTAATGTTTAATGATACAGCACAATGATTGGTTTACAATACCAAAAATTTTATTTTATTTGACCTTTTTGAATCTACTCATCCATCATCAGTAAGTCGGATATACAAGTAAAATATGATGTTACTTTGACAGTTACGCAGTATATGTCAATAATCAGCTATAAAACATTTGAAGATATAAACATTGTCAAACATTTTATTATGCAGCTCTGACACTACGAAGAACTGATACCAACTATTGCATCGCCGCTTAGATTATTATACCATGAGCAATGCTCGAAGATTAAATTGTACTTGACTGGAATCAATCAATCCTAAACCGTTACTGATATTATTCGACCGATCGAAACTTCGACGATATGAGCCATATTCATTAACATTTTCCTCTCCAAAAACATCAACCACTCGTATTTATACCTAACATTGAGCATTTTATTATAGCTACAAATGGCCAACTTCTGATCCATTTGGACGGTCTCTGGTTTTATTTTCATGTCATTTGCATGTGGAAGTCAGAGAGGTACGCCAATATGACTTTCACCAATTAGACGTTCGCCAATTGCCGTAGATCCAACTGACTTTCGCCAATGGCCGAGCGACCAGGAAGGCAACTGATGATCACCTGATGACGATGACGACAATACAGATACATCTTGATTTTTCTTTTATCTTCTTGTTTTTTACGATGCACTGATGCGAAAGAGTGATTGGTGCCATAATGTATCTAAGATACAATCTGTTTTGAAATCTAGAAAAAAATATATTGGATATTTTTATTATAAAATGATGAACGATTATGTACCAGATTGTAGCTGAATTCAGCTGTCTTGCTGCCGTCTTCGTTACTTTAGACATTTGGTAGAATTGAATTTGTTGTTCTATCAAATTTGATCGTGACAATAATTTCTGTTAACTGACTTTGTTGAGAGAGTAGGCATAATTGTCAAATAGAATAATTATTTATTCTTTATTATATTAAGTCAAATTTTTTATTTCATGTTACAGCACTATGAGATAAAAAGTTTGGCCTAATACATTCGCAAAAGACATCTGAAAGTTTTGTCAGACACCTTATGTAACAATTTGGAATAATAGAAAAGATATTTAATTAATTAAACGCTCCTGCGTAAAT